AAGTGAGACAGATGCGTGGGCGAGAAAGAAACGCAGCCGTTTTCATGTTTTCGTGGTGTGTGTGTGTGTGTGTGTGTGTGTGCGTGTGTGTGTTTTCAACTGCGTGTTTGACAAATGAATTTGTCGGCCACTGCAAGAAGGGGGAACTAGTCGAAGTGCGAACTACTGAATAGTCAAGCGTGTGGAATGATGAGTTATCAGGAGGATACATGGCCAAAGGGTGCATGAACTGAGGCGCTGTGGGAATTGGGGGCGGTAACTCGGCGACTGAGGCTGCAGGATTGAGGTGCGTGTTTCGGCACGATTACGCACAACTTCATCTCCTGTTCTCTAGGGTCCCCACGTTTGCTAATTGGCGTGCTGCTTGTCCTCTGGAGTGATCCAGGATAATGCAAACATGTGGGAGATCAGCACTTAAAGTCAGCCGTGAATGCTGCCACGAGTTGTTTGGTGGCATATCGTAAGCGTGGCACCTCGCGAATTCATGACTGACGAAGTAGGTCTGCCTTCGAGTAGTGTGTGCATCCGTACGCGTAGATAGTCGCTGCACAGTGAAACACGGTGGCTCGAAAATCACAGACTACAGAGGACTCGATTAGCCCAGGACTTCCACCTCATGCAGTAGTGTGCTTTGAGCTTATTCGGCACAACTAGGGTTGTCAGCAAGCGTTCACAGCAGGCGTATCTTGACAGTAATTGTTGAATAACTCATTCAATGGTTGAGGCAAGAATGCGCGTGAAGCAATAAACATGAGTCGGTACAATGTTGAAATAGCAATTAGAGTGGATGAAGGAGGGGAGTCAATGGGAGGTGACCTTGTGCGTGTGTGCCTGTGTGACCCAGACATCTGTTAGACCAAGGTGAGATTTGTAAATCTTCCAACATGGCAACATGGTTTGACGATAGGTCCGACGATGTGAGGATAAAAGCTTCAAACTAATGAAGGCATGGCAATCACGTACGCCGCTGACGTCGCTACAGGCGATGCCATGATTTCTCAGCATTTGGTTCAAATGCTTTGCCTTCAGTGTTGTCGAGCTGACGGTAGATGGGATGTGCGATGGGGTGTCACGCCGCATTCGAGAGACAAAACCACTAACCCATCAGCATCCGCATGATTTTGAAGCGTGTGTCCATGCATGCAAGACCGCATTTCAGGCCGTTTTGTTCACGTTCAAGCCTGTCATTTCCTTCAGCTAAAATATTCGGTTAGTAGAAGCTTGTGTTCAACCACTGACATGGCATTGTGCTAGGCAAACTTCACACTTCATGTGTCGAGGGTCCAGACACCTGAGTGGATAATTGCGAAATACCGTGTGAAGTAGCATTGTCGCATGAGCATACTGTGATACAGAAGGACCGGCAGCAACATCGGCATCGGATGAACCGAGTTGGGCGCACTTCGAAAGTGCGGATAACTTCCTACGGTTCACCGACCCTGCGCAAACACACCCAAGGCATTCATTGAGATCTCATTTCTTCTAGCTGTTGTTTCCACACTGACAAATTGGCCCATGTTTGTGAGCAAAGTAGCACGACTTTCCAGAATATTCTCTGCACGTATGCAATGTTACAGCAACACTTGTACAGGCACCCTGGCATTCGTTTAGCCTGGTGGCGATAATTCGTGTTGCAGTTATTTTTGAATGTACCTCCGAAAGCGTGTGTTTCTAATCTCATGCCAGGTGTCCACGCACGCACTGGTGATGGCAAATCCCTCACCAGATGAGAAAGAAGACGCTGCAGTGAAGGAGAACATGGTGTCACGGTGCAGTGTCTCTTTCAATTCGCAGCGTCGATTCCAGAGCACACAGAATGCAGTTGTGGCGAGCAGCGGTAGCAGTGCTGAAAGACGCAAACGTTAATGTCACTAGGTCATTCCGCTCACTTCACTTGTTTCATCAAACCGCACTTTTTGGCGACAGTTGATTGTTGACGAATGTGGTTGCGGTTTATTGGCATTTGGTTGGACATTGAACACAGAGCACTGCACTTGATGGTGCGTGGCGTTAAAATGGACATTTTGCACTCTGCCCTCAGTCCCGGTTACGGGTGTTTAGTGGCAAGATTTGCCGGTGATCACACCCATCCGCGTTTGCGGGGCTCTGCAGTGGAAGCCGCTTGCACTGCGTTCACAATGCACTAACCTGAGAATAGCGAGAGCGTTCCACCGCACCACATCATCGTCCTAGCTACCGCTGCTTTGTGGCTTGCCACGAAAATAAGTACAGATTCAGATTCACACCCAGCCTCGTGTAAATTCTGCGACTTTGGACGTTTTCAAACCGCGCCTTCTGCATCGCTTCAGCCTCGTCATTTGCTTTGACTCCCAACTACCAAATGTACCATTTGCGTTCAGTGAAGGTGTCAACAAAATCACTGTTTTATTTTGTCATGTGGAGGAATGACACGCCAAGGCTAGACGTTGAAGCGTGGCCACTGAAACGACGCGGTTCGACCCGCTACTTGCGCTAGCATGAGAGAATTACTTTAGTGTGACAAGTAGTTAGTTTAAATGGGGACATACGGTATTTGATATGCGAATGATAGTTGCTCAGTATGAGGAATTCGAGGTAATCGACTGCATTCATGCTTGATAATAACGTTGGAGTATTGGTCGTCAGTGATGTTTCGTGTTTCACGCCCTGTCCTGATTACAGATGCTTTTTATGACATGCTTTGTAGTTTACCTATTCCGTGCCGCGTTAATGAGGTATTAGTTAAGCACGTGCACCACATTAACAACGCGCCTGTCCGCGAATTAAAAGTGCATTCAAATACACCACTCCAACATCTCACCTACCAGCACACTGTGGCCTACCGTGGAGAAAGACGGAAATGTGTCAGATTCGAAATGAGCAAGTGCACATCCTGGAATTTCAAATTTCAAACGCATTTTACCTCTGCACATTCAAAATTGCCTTCGGTGATTAACTCCGTTGCCTTTCAAATGCATGCACGCATGCTTATTATACTCTCTTAAAAAAGTGCAATTCGTAGAAATCTGTAGAGCTACATTACTACCCCACTACTAATTGACCCACACTAAACTCGAGGATAACGTCGGAGCAAGATGGCAGAAAGAGGTGAACATAACTGCTTACTCACTCCCAGAGCACAGCACGATTTTCGATAACTCGTTAACAGAGGCAAATGAAGGTATGGCATAAATAATAGATGCCAGTGTGCTTGCGGTAAAGGCTTTTGGATTAGCTCCGACACAAGTGCCTTCGCCGACAATGTTAGAGGTTCGACATCGTTAGCAATCCAAACTAAATGCATTGCATGATCGACCCTGACAGTGGACTACACATTTGACCTAATGTTGTGAGCAGTAAGGTTGACAATTTATGTGAGGCGTAAATGGCTCTGTGCCATTTCAACGTCAGTATTTCCCCTCCACTTAGAAGGCTAATATTTGTTTCTGAGGAGACAACTGATCCTATCGATTTGCTACCAGGGTCTCATTGAACATTCGCATCTGTGATTCACACTTAGCTTCCTCTAGATTACTTTAAGTGATGCTTCATAAAATGCTCACACGCTGCCGCAGCAAGTCTGGCAAGTGAGTAGATTAATTCGTCTGCTTTGTCCTGTTGCATTTGTGCCATCGTTTTCGTCCTTGGGTCCTCTGACGATAAGGTTCAGCTTGAGGCCTGCAGCAGTGTATTAGTCATGCTTGACTGTAGAAATCCAAAAACGGGTGTGTTTGTTGAGCAAGCGACATCAATCCAAACCGTTAAATCATTAGTCAGATGCGGATAGGTAGGAGAAAGGCAGGTTCGAAGAACATGGATGAAGCACAAACTCATTGGAGCTTGTGCCAGTTCATATCCACTGATGCTAGGAAGACGACGTCGGCAATATCACCACGGGGCACCTGTGTACCATCATTCATAAGCGGATTTAATTGAATATTATCTTAGCCTGCTTCTACTAAATCAACAAACCTCCGGTACATTTTCAAGGGGTAGATTTGCGATTCTATTAAATCCATGTGTTGGATTGACGAATTATTCTTGGGTGATGCTTTGCTGATAAATTTATCATGACTTGTGCCTGTTTATTCTCTCAAGCGGAGCAAATCTTATGGCTAGTTTGTCATATGCACCTCTCGAGAATGCATCTTAAAACGAGAAACTTCGCGCAAATTCTAGTGCAGGTTGGTTCTTGTCTGGGGCATTAAATATGAAGAGGGCAAAAATAACTCCGAATTTTGCAGTCACACTTGCCAAACTTCCAATAAGTCCGAGTGTCGCACTCGGGCTGGAGGCAGCCTTGGCAGTGTAAATGGTCAGATGTTGGTATATTTTAGTCGAGTAATAATTGAACATGCTAATCACAAAAACGGTCAGGAACCACCAAATTGTGACTATCATTCCATGCTTTCGACAAGTCACCTCATTGTGGGTTGCCATCGTTGTCTTCACAAAATCCCTTCAGAAGGGGACACGAATGGTGAGAAATGGTTTAGCGGAAATTTAGACAATGTGCGTTCAACTTGCATTAAGTTAATATCATTTTAATGACCATCGTTGCTGTTGCTTACTGGTAGAAAGTAGGAAAGTAAAGCGTTCTTAGCATTAACTGATCACCTTACTTTCTTCGCCAGCGACCTGGTGTCAAATTGTCAAACGTCGTCAACATGCTTCTGATAACATATCAAAGCGCTGCTAAATTACAAACATTCATAACTACTGATTTGTAGAGGTCTATCTTTAAGGAATTCATGTCGATGTTCTGTTTTTGTGTGCACTTGTCTGCAGTCTCTGTGCATCTTGACAATAATATGCGCATTTGTGGTAGTTGGCACAAATATTAGCAATCATGGACATTTGAGCAGAATAAAATGTGCCCTAACACAACACTACTGCACATTATAATATCAAAGAAATAAGAAGGAAGTATTTTCATCAGTATTTTAGCAAGGGTATTAAAAGGTGGTGTCGGCGTGAGCAGGTCAGTTTCAAGGTTGGAACAGCTGACGGTGGCAGTTCAAACAGTATGGTGTTTTGGTTCGGAGTGAGTGATTTTGTGCATACGTATGAAATGTGCTGGTTTTCACATTGTCGTGCCTGGTTTGTACCCGCAGTGTTATAGTATTTTGTGGTTTCTAATATGCGAAGCACTTCTTTAAGCTTTTTGTGTGCGTTTTTATATGTGTTGTAGACGGATTCGAAAAAGTCGTCAAAACAAAGCCGAGAAGCCAAGTCTGTGTGGCCATTGAATTATGTGAAAGTACCCTCCATATCTTTCAGTTTGCCTCAAGGTACGCTGACTACTAATTTGTTCATGACGGACGTTTGTGCAGATATTTATCTAGCTTATGGAAGACACTTGATAATTTTGTACTGGCGAGTTATGTAGAGCAAGCTAGTGGTGACGCTGCTTACCTTGTACCTTAAGTGTCTGGGCCACCTCTTTTATTAAACAGAAGACGTTTTGCATGTGTAAATGTTGATTCACGAATATGTATGCAGGCTGCAAAGAATATTTGGCAACAGGCATCACCGTTAATCAAAGTCATAGGTACAAAACGCAAATGTTGTTTGTGCGATCGCTTCCTGTACGTCAATGTTTTGTGTGTTGAAAGTATAAGTGCTAATTTGTCAATACTAATTACGCAGAAATGGTAGTTAATGTTGTCAGGTTTGTAGGCAGAATGAATGTGAACGAGACTAGTGTAGTTAATGCCACAACTCAGTTCTTGCAATGCACTGGTTAGTTGAGATTATCGAAGTAGTGCATTTTGAGGAGGACTGCACTGAAATGTTGTAGGGAATTGGTGCAATTGCATGCTAGTAGTTTTCGAGTTGGATGCTGCTGAACGGTAATGTTGTAATTTATGCAGCGGTCTCTCCCACTTACTGGGCGAAAATTGTTCTCGGAAGAGGCTCATCTGCTTTGCTGAGAATTCTAGGATTGGCGACTACCAATCTTCTCTCGTTCGCCTGGTTTCTTATTTTCGGTGACATTTCAGTTTTTAAAATTGCAGTAGTCGCGCTGGCACTTGTGGTCGTTGGGATAACGGTAAGCACCTCGTGAATGCCCATTTGTGACTTTGTTGATAAGTGTATAACATCAGTGGGCTTGTAAACTGGACAACTGCCTGAGAAGAAGTTGTCGTAGTAAGACTAAGGCGTGAAAGTGACTAATGTGACAAGATGTGGCTTGAAATAAAACCAATATGCGAGTGGAATCCTTTGAGTATAGCTGAGCTTACGGTAACTTCCTGCATGTTTGTCCCTCTAAGTCGTTTCATGACTTTGCAGTGTACCAGCGACAGGTGCTTGCAACATTGCCACAAGTGGAGTGTTTTCATTTTGACCACGCTCATTTTGCGCGTGTCTGTGAAAATGTGCAAACGTCTAGCCTTCTTGCTTTTTACTTTGCCTTGCAGCACTGTCTCATGTGTAGGTAAAATCCTCAGGGTGTGTTAAATGTTGATGACCTGACTGAATATTCGTCATCATCTTCAGATATTCAGGTTTCAACCAAATCACAAGTCATATCAATACATCGTCATTAAAATGCTCAGTTATGGGCACAAAGTAAGATGCCTAAGCACACCTTACCAGAAATCAAGTAAAAACTGTTTCGTGATGCGGGTGTTGGAAAGCTGCTTAAATTGGTTACTACTGAATTTGGCAGCGTAGTTGGATTTGTATGAAACGTGATGTAGAGCCTCGTGTTATGGGGAGTAATGGTTAATGCTGCGTTTCAATTCTAGTACGCTGGTTACGGAGCGTATGCGAGCTTCATCGGCGCCATCGTTATGGGACTCATCGCAGTACTGAGCTCAGCAGTGAACTCGTTGTTTCTTCGTAGAGACCCAAAGAAATCAGTTGCGACTGTTCCACCTAGAGGCAAGTTTGCATATTACATAGTAGAATTGCCGATGCAGGTAGGTCGCGGTGTGGGAGTAAGTGTCATGCCTTTGATGAAATACCAAAGCAAATAGTTCGAAGACTGCTGAACGATGCCTGACATTGAAAGACCTGGCTGTCATACCTGTCAAGACTGCACGTGTTCAAGTAATAGCTAAATGGAGTCAACAAGGTACTAAGGTATTTTGACAATGGACGAGTGTTCTGATCTTGTGGGGGGTTGAAGTGAAGCGGATGTTTTATCCACGATGCAGTTTAGATATGAAAACTATGAGTTATTGCCTACCATGCGTGAACGGCCAATCATTTGAACCCACTGTAGAACCCCAATTGTGGCACTTGGCATGGAGCCTACTATCGTTAGCAAGTCGGAGTGCCTTTAGAGCCACGAGAGACCAAGATTTCGTTGTCGTGAGATTTGTTCGATTGGAGATCTCAGGTAGCATATTTTGGCACCGAAAATAGCTTTGCGATGCGTCTTGGGCACGTTGGAAGAGGAGACTGAAAGACGTTTGGTGTTATGAGTTACAGTGGAAATAACTGTGGTACGTATTGATTTGACAGGGTCTTCGTGGATCTACGGGGGTCTGTTTTCGTGACCTGTCGCACACCATCACCGAAGAATCGCTAGGAGCAGAATATGATGCCCCACGTTAAAGTCCCTTTCTAACGCACAGTACCTTCACATTTGAGTTTTCCACTTAATGATCTTCCTCCTTCGTAGCACCTCTTCAAACAATTACCCGAAATTATTTGCAGAAAAGCTCTCCGTAGTAGTGCATGATTATTGTGTTCTTAGAATAAAGTTGTCTTGCTCAACACAAGGCTTTTATGAGTTAAGGTACAGCACAATGTACCCAAAGAAGAAGTGAGACAGATGCGTGGGCGAGAAAGAAACGCAGCCGTTTTCATGTTTTCGTGGTGTGTGTGTGTGTGTGTGTGTGTGCGTGTGTGTGTTTTCAACTGCGTGTTTGACAAATGAATTTGTCGGCCACTGCAAG